CACCAGGGCATTAAGAGTCTCCTCCTCACATGCTCAAGAATGTGAAAAGAATGATGAGAAGAGGCCGTGTTCCTGAAAGTGAGCCATCAAGACAGGCTTTCTGAGCAATGGTATCTAAAACTTGAGAGGTGGTTAGAAACTTCTTACAACACAGATGCTAGGGAAGGGGCGTGCTGACAGACAGAGCTATGGAAGGCTGCGATCACCCCAAAAGACAGAGCTATGCCTTTTGAATTACAATAAAGGAAAAAAACTAGGAATATTTGTTGTTTCATTGCAGTAGGCTATTTTCAGAATGATTTCTATTTTAAAATGTTCTTTGAAGGAGCAAGATATTTCATTCCACTATCCAAGTAGAGCATCAAATAAAATCCCATATAATAATGCTAATCATAAAGTAAACTGAAGCACTGTGCTGATTACAGAGATTGACTGAGAATATCTTCTTTGCTTTTTAATTAAAAATGGGCAAGAGATCAGTTAAATATTGTTATTTTTAAACAGACAGCAATATGATCTCCCAGCAAGCAAAAACTTTTATTTCTGCTGACAAGTTACTATATCCAAGCCTATTTACTTGCTGGCATATTTTTTTCTCAGACAAAAAGTGCAGGCTTGGATAGAGAAAACCATGTTCAGAACTCACTCAGAGATGATTATGATAGATATTATAAGGACTTTCTTTTCTTTCTTTCTTTTTTTCTTGAAAAGGAGTCTTACTCTGTTACGGAGTCTCACTCTGTTACTGAGGCTGGAGTACTGTGAGATGTGGTGACAAATGGCACTTCCAGAGGGAACATTTAAAATCCAGTCTGGAATTGTTCAAGTCCTCTTTCAATGCCTAAGTGAACTTTGAAATTTTATAACTTCAGAATAGGTTGCTACACTTCCTAGAAGTAATTGTGCATTATCTGAAAGAATTAAAGAATTTAGAAGCCCGCATTTCAGAAAGCCACCATAAGAACAGGGTTAATCACTGAATTAAGAAAGATGGGCCAGGCACAGTGGCTCATACCTGTAATCCCAGCACTTTGGCAGGCCGAGGTGGGTGGATCACCTAGGTCAGGAGTTCAAAACTAGCCTGGTCAACATAGCGAAACCCTGTCTCTACTAAAAAT